AGCTAAAATTTTGGCTTCATTTTTTATGTTATTTTTTTCTATTTGAACTCTATTTGAAAAAAAAAAATTATCGTTAAACATTTTAGAATACATTAGTCGCTTACAGAGCATATCTAAAAAACAACTTTTAAGTCAAAATTTAGATTTTACTCTAGGTTCAAACACAAAGTAAGTTTTAATAAATTCTTGCAATTATTATGTTTTAAAAATATTATTGATTTTTAATACATAAAAAAAACACAAAGCAAACTTTGTTTAAAACACTGCAATGACAGCTTTAGAATCAAGAGGTTATATAGAATCAAAATAGTAAAAGCGAGAACACATGTATAGCCTATAAAATGTTATTTTAAAAACATCAATGTTGTTTTTGGAGTACCTATCTTGTGGTTTTTGTGGTGCATCGGGTATTTTCTCCAAGATTAAGTTGGCAGTAACTGGTTTTATTTAAAACATTTTAAATCAAATAATATTAGGACACGCCAAATTTCAGCTTCATAGGTTCACTAGTTGCAGAGATACAATCGATAAATTGAATGCGGTTTTTGGGGTACACATCCAAAAACAACAAAAATTCAGTTAACAACAAAACAATTTCTTAAAAATTGATCAAACTGGGAAGAACTTTAAGCAACTCTGAACACATTCAAAACAGTTTTTTTCAAAAGCAAATGATAAAAAAGTTATTGAGATGTGCTTTTTTTGGTGTTTTGTGGTATGTATACCTGTACTACAAAATATAATAATACAGCCAAGAAACTTAAAAATTTATTACTATAACAGAATATAATAATACAGCCAAGAAACTTAAAAATAGACAAAGGAGAACAAGCGGACTCTACCAGGATTGGAGAATTTACAGTGGGACTGTGACAAAAGTAAAAAATGTCACACTTTTTTTTTTTTATATATATGTATAGTATTTTATCCTATCTTGGCTTTTCTAAAACTTGCACTTTTTTCTTATAATTTAAAAACTTATTCTTTAATAACAAATATTTATTAGAAATAAAGCGACTTCTATTTCAGATCTTAAAAAATAAATAAAAGTACAATCAAAAATATCATCAACTTTTTTCTAAAAAACTCTAGATATTCGACGCTTATTTTTGACTTTATCCCATCTTTTGAAACAACATCTACATCTCTATTCCCGTAAAATTATTTCACTCATTTTTAGTTTAATCTTGAAAAAATTAAACCAAATTTGTTCCAAATTGATAATCTTTTCATTTTGACACTTTATAATTTTAAAACAACTATTTTATATTCCGGGAATATAAAAAAGTTAGGAATTCTCTTCCATTGGAAATTCTCTTTAATAAAATTAAATTAACAATACAGTTGACTTAGTCTAACGTTTTAGAAAATTGCGAGACTTTTTTTTTTCTTTCTATTTATTAAATAGGCGGTTAAATAATTGTAATAAATAACTATTATATTTAAATAATTATAATTAATTAATCGTACGCATTATAGTCAAAATGATAGTTTTGTAGTAATTTTAGACATTTATTTAAACATAAACCAAAAGGGGCGAAAACTTGATAGTTATATGCCTAAGCTCTTTAAAATTTTTTTTATTGGATATCAAAAAAATATGAATACCTTAGTTTCTATCGTTTAAAATGTCTAAAAAATCATTATGACAAATTATGAGGTAAATTTATAAGCTATTATTTTATCGAGCTCTAGTGAGCATATTTCTAAGTATATAAAATGAAAGATTAACATATTTACAATAAATTAAAATTGTTTTGGACTACAACCTCTGCACAATTTTAACTTCAAGCACCGTAGCTAAAGCTCTAAACTTGAACACATTTAGTACAACCCCTCGTTTTGAGGTGGTTTTAATATTTGACATTGCTGTAACTTTAAAATGTCGAAAGATTCTTGAGTGAAGTTTTTTATATATGCGTTTATTTTATTTATGAGGATGGAAAATATTTTTTTAAATTTGAGTATTGAATACAGACCTCTTTCCTATCCCCTTCCCCCCAGAAACAACTAAAGTTAGGGATGTAACTACATTTGGCCACATAAAAATTTTTATAAGAAAAAGAGGATAATAGAGGATTTTAGAGGAGACTTTCCTTTAATTTAGAGGATTTTGTAGTTTTTTGCAAAACTACAAAATTTTGAATAAAAATAGAGGACTTTAGAGGATTTTTTTTATAGGTTTAACGTCCATGTTTCCACATAATTGGGGTTTGGACAGGGGTCAACAATGTCATTTTTTATGTTAGATGACATGGATTTGCTAAAATTGATTTTTTACAACTGAATTCTCATTTCAGACGTTAACTAGTTTTGCAGAGCATGAATATTGAATATTATACCACCATCAAGAAATAAAGAAAAAAAAAGGAGTTCAAGAGGAGATTTTATCACATTTTTAACTTTTTAGAGGAAAATAGAGGATTTTAGAGGAGGTTCTTGATTAAAGAGGACTTTAGAGGATTTTAGAGGAGCTGTGGCCACCCTGAATCTAGTCTTATTTCAGGTAGAGTGTTCTGTGTTGTCAATTTCTGAATTGAATGACTACATTGAACATGACACAACTGAGGAGATAAAAGTAAAAGTGATGAAGATTTGAAAGAATGTTCAATTAAATGCTATCAAACTGTTGTGAACTTTGATCAAAAGTAAATGTGATAAATTGGTTGATGAGAGAATTCATTTTGGAAGAGTGACTGAAGATATCTTTTCCGCATCAAAAAGTATTGTTATATCAAGCATATCCTACGGTCGACCATTAGCAGGATCTGACGATTGTCTACTAAGAACGAAATGCAGAAAAATGAGTGAAATTACTGATAAATGTACTGATAATTGATTTTGCTGCTAAAATAAAATTGAATAGTGATAAATGTAAAGACAAAGATTACTCATGACATTTTAGAAACAAATAGTAAACCAACAACAATCCAACAGAAGATTTGGCACTACTTTTGTATCGTAACTTAATTTTAGATTAAGACTTATCAATACATTCAATATAATGTTTTAGAAAAACAAATGTTTATGCCTCCAACAAATGTTTATACCTCTGACAAATAGCTTTAGAGCTGCAAAAAAAAAAATACTATTTTACTAAAATATTTGTTTGTTATTATTAAGCTAATATAATAATAATGAAGATAATATAATTATAAGCTAATATTCTATAACAAGATCTTGTAAACTGCACTTTTAAGATAAAATAATATTTTAACAAAAATTATTTTGTCTGGGGAGTTTGATAAACCAACACTATATTACTAGGCTGAATTTGATGACTCAACAAATCAAAGTATTTAAAAACAAAAATAGTCCGATAGCAATTCTAGCAATTCTAATTTATCAAATAATTCATTTTTATTTTTACTTTGTTTGCAGTGATCCTTTAACGGTATTTACAAGTATTACAAAAAAAGTTATTTTATGGAGAAACCTAAAACCATTATCAACCATTTGTCAACTTCTGTTTTGATAAAAAAAAGTTTTTATTGATGGAGAAATCAAACATAAAAATAAAATAACAAATTTGATACCAACTGTACTGAAATCACCATGATTAATGGAAAGGTACACATTGCTTTATCAAACATAACTAACTTTCATAAGTTATGTTCAGTTTGTAGATAAATCTATCAAAAATAAATGGCATTAAAATTGATTAAAAGTTTGATTGTTTTAAAAGAAGCCACTCGTAATGTTCAGTAAGGTCTTTCAAGCTTCCATGATTGGAAGGTGCTTTGAATACTTAATTCATTTTGTATACAAAATTTAATTTTGACAAGCAAAATCTTTTGAAGTCAAGAAACAGTAATGATGGTAATATAGTCAGGAATTTTGAATTAGATATTTTAAAACTTTGTGATAATTGTTTTGAAACTACCAGATATTACTTTGATCACAAAAAAACTTTATAAAACGACAGACAAGCTTTTTTTAAAAAATTCTTTTTTATTTGTTATAGGATATAACATCTTTATATTTGTTATGTATATAATATCTACAGAACTTTTAAAAACAAAATAAAAATGTTTTACTTTGTTTTCTAAAAAATCGAAAATGATTATAACAAAAACAAATGTGCAAGCGCAAAGATTTAAACCACGACAATACGCTTCAAAAATGCTGCAAGACAAAATGTTTTAATAAACAAAAGACTATTTAATAATTATAAGATAATTATAAAATAGTCTTTACAAAATGGCAAATAAATGCCAAAAATCAAAAATAAGGAGATTTTGCCCTAATTCAATTTTCAAGTAAAAGTTAAAAGCTGTAAAACTTGATATATGTTTTAACTTTAATTTGAAGTTTACATAAATTAGATTTTTGCATACACTTTCATTCACATTTTGTTATAAAAAAAGTCCTGTGAATCTTTCTTGCCATTACCTCGGTTGCAATGGCTGTCAAGAGTTCCGTGTCAAACGCACTCAAAAGTTAGTGTGGAAGCACTACTACTAATAAAACTATTACTATTAAGTTAAGCATTAATAATAACATATATAGAGTGATTTTAAAAAACAAAATTTTTTAAAAAATGTGTATTTTGGGCCACCTAAACGTGTTTTATATAATGAAATAACACTGAGTTTAAAAAATTTTTATACAAAAATTTATTTTAGGGGTGTCGCTAGACCCTTTAGTATTGACCAGGTCCTTATTATTTTGAAAAAAAAAAGTCTTTCAAAACTAGGTCAACCTGGTACTCAACAGAAGCAAAAATAAAAAAGTTCAAAAACAATAACTGATTTATAAATAAAAATTTTTTTTTTCAAATTTATTTCTTAAAAACTATGGGTTTTTAACTAAAAATTAAAAAAAGTGCATTTTACAAGTATTTTGACCATGTTTTTTATAATGATAATATTTATAAAAATTTTAATAAAATTTTTTAATATTTATATAAAACATTTTAAAAATATTTTAGATATAGATTTAGCTCTTCTTACAAAAGAAAATAATGAAAAACAAGAATGTATCATCTAATAAATACTTACAGTTTTATCTTCTCTGGCAGAGTTTAACTCTTTTTCAAGTTGAGTATAAAGAACTTCCTTAATAAAATTTTTAACTATCTTTTTAAGATGAACTTATAAAAAATAAAAAAATAAAATAAAAAAAAATAGTTTTTAAAAACTTACATTTTCCAGTTGTTGTTTTGCAAAGCATTCCTTTTTAACCATATCTACTGATTCAACTCCTTTTTCTAAAATTGTTTTAAAAAGTTCAAGTTTTGGAATGGAAGCATTTAGTCCAAACTGAACGGCATGAGTTGATGAATGGTAGTTTTCAATTAAACACTTGTTATGCTGATTAACTTCATCCAAACGATGAAACATTATTTCCGTTTTTTCAACTATAATTAAATTCAAACTATAATAAAAATATTCAAAAAAATGCCTCAGACAAAGAAATAATACCATAACATATCTAAACATAAAGAATGAAATAATATGATAACATTTCTAAAATAAACATACAAATTGTACATATATTTTCACAATTTAAATTTTGACATATATCTAAATCTTAAAAATAGCAATAGAAGCAATGAGTTTGATCTGTACAGAGAGAATATCTATTAAATTATTTTGAATTAAGGTTTTTAGTTTTGAATGTTTTGAAAAATTGTGCATTTGGGAAAGAGTTTGTAATAAATGTGTACATACGCATAGGTGGGGAGGTGAGAAGGTTATTTAAAGCATACAGATGCATACAAAGGGGGGAAAAAGGGTCCTAAAATTTATTTATAAAAATAAGCAAAACTAGTGAGCAATTGCTGATCTTTAGATGCCAATTTACACTTTCTCTTGAAATATGGAATATTTCAAGAGAATGCAATATTTTGCAGTTTTTCAATATTGACAATATTATGCAAAGATTCACTGGACTATCTTTGCTCATAAATTGTTTTTTGCAAGTGAGAAATTAGCTGTCCAACTATTGGGATTCTAGAATAAATACTCAATTACATTCAGCTCTCGGAATTAGGGTAGGCTTTAGGCAATGTTGACCTAAAAGTGTTTGAGGTCAACAAAAAATCACTGACCTCGTTTCTATGTTTTATGGTAACCTCTTTGTATCAATTTTTTTTTTTGCCAACTTGATGACGACATCTAACAGTTTGAGGTCTGCAATTTATTGCTCAACTCATTTTTTTCTAATTGCAAAGGCTGTACATTCTAATTAATTAAATTTGGTTGAAGTTAATTTTTCAAAATTTATAATAACAAAATGTTATCATAAATAAAGACAGACTAATTTGAATATATAATTCTAAACTTTATATAAAAACTGTTTTTGTCAACTTACTTTTCTGACCAGTGTGTAAAAACTCTAATAAACATAAATTAAAAAAAACATAAATAACCTTCCCATATGTTACAGTATAACTAAAATGTTTTGACTTCTGATGAATTGCAACATTTGTAATGACTCATGTTTAAACTACATAATCACCCTACAGAGTAACCCATAGTGAAAGACATCATACTTTCATGTATTGCATGCCTTAAATCCAGAGCTTTAGCTCTTGCTCTCGCCCACACTTTCCTAAAATAGTTCCCGTAAACTGTTTAGTTTAAACAGTTTACGGGAGCAATTTACAGCTCTAGAAAATTATAATTTTTTCTATCAAAAGTTTAATTATCATTGTATTTAAAATGAAAAACACGAAGTCATTTTTATAAAAATTAATTGCATAATAAACTGCAATGCTTTTTAAAAGACACAATTGTTGCAAAAAAAAAAAAAAAAAAAAGAGCACCGATTTAAATGTAAATGTTTTCGATTAGATTGGACTAACTGATTAACATACAAATTGAATTATACTTATTACACTCTAAATTATATTAACAAAATAAAAAATTATTTAACTGATAAAAAATATTGTATAATAATTTTAATTTTAGGTAATGAATTATATATTTTATATATTAATTACTTTAATATATTATTCACTTTTATTGTGAAATTTTTAATTGTTGTAGTAATTTTTAAAATGCCTGCATTCTATTACAATAAGAAAATAAAAAACATTTAATAATAAAACATTTAAAAATAAAAAACAAGAAAAAACTTTTATAACTCATATAAAGACAACGCTCATCTAAATAATTTTTTCAAGAATTTTTTCAATTGACACTTGTTATGTATATATTCTTGTAACATTTATGTTAGTTAGCAATCGAGGTTAATATTTGACAGGGCCGGGTTTGATAAAATATAACTAGGGTCGGTTTTGTGACCAAGGCTGCATAAACATTTATACATCCTAAAGTATATTTTTTTATTCAAAATTCATATTATATTTTGTATAATAATGCATAGATAAACATCATTAGGATCAACATCATCATCATGATCATTATTATCATCATCATCATCATCATCATCATCATCATCATCATCATCATCATCATCATCATCATCATCATCATCATCATCATCATCATCATCTTCTTTTTCGGCAAATACTACACCATATAAATACTAAATATATATGTTATATATATGCAAACATATATGTTTGCTATTTATACATCTAAATAATAAATAACAAGCATATATGTTTGCTATTTATTTAGATGCTGGCATACTTTAGCATCCTTTATATCCATAATATGTATGCTTAAAGCGCATCTCAGAAGCTTTTTTTCCTTCTAGACCAAAAGTTTGGAAGCTTTTATTCCTACTCTTCAATTTTAAGTCAAGCATCATTCTACTCCACATTTTTTCCATCTTGAGCAGTTGCTTTGTTAATCATTTATTTTATCTCTTTTACAAGAACATCTATCTTATGAACAATAAAAAACCCTTTTATTATTCCATGAAGCCAATGTAAAATAGTCCTGTCTGATATTAAGCTCTGTTATTAACATTTTACCAAATCTTATAACTCATATCAGATGTTCAAAAAACTTTCAACAATTTCATTAACTAAATCAGAGTTTTCATTTGACTCTTCCAGTTTTCCTCTTCCTTTCATTTGACTCTTCCAGTTTTCCTCTTCCTTTCATTTGACTCTTCCATTAACATCCTTTCATTTGACTCTTCCAGTTTTCCTCTTTCTTTCATTTGACTCTTCCAGTTTTCCTCTTCCTTTCATTTGACTCTTCCATTAACATCCTTTCATTTGACTCTTCCATTAACATCCTTTCATTTGACTCTTCCATTAACATCCTTTCATTTGACTCTTCCTTTCATTTGACTCTTCCATTTGACTCCTTCCTTTCATTTGACTCTTCCATTAACATCCTTTCATTTGACTCTTCCTTTCATTTGACTCTTCCATTTGACTCCTTCCTTTCATTTGACTCTTCCAGTTTTCCTCTTCCTTTCATTTGACTCTTCCAGTTTTCAATTTGACTCTTCCAGATTAACCCATTGTTAAACATCCAAATCACTCTGGCTTCTAATGCTAAAGTTAATTCTTAATTAGACACTTCTACAGTTTGTGCTTAAGACAAGATTTCTAACATAGTCTTAAAAAAAGTTCTCCAGAACTCTCAATTTTTGTTAAATTTTTAAAAAGTGCTAATAAAGTGGTTCAAATTTTTCAATTATCCTACAATTAGTCATCTCTGTTATTAGTTTCTTTATATAAAGGTTTTGAGATAATTAAATTATTTCTTTCTAACTGCAGTATTAAAGTTATTCTTGAAGGCCTACACTCTTCTTTATTTCAAGTTACTTTAAAGGTAACACAAGGTTCTATCTTTGCTCCCGTATTGTTTCTTATCTACAATAATGATCATCATGAAAATATTTTATCTGTGCTTATGGCTTAACTTTATACTCTTGCGTTGACAAAAAATGATTTTGATTGCTTAAGAAAATGATTTTGAAGCTTAGAACAAGCAGCCGATTTTTAATCTGATCTCTCTTCTGTAACAGTGCTGTTACAGGCAAATGGGTAAAACTTATTGTAATTACAAATGGGTTTAAACTCTGGACTTAAAATCCACAATTTTTGTTAGACAACAAAACTCATTTACTTATTGCAAAAAATATTGCAATAATGTTGGCATTCCTATATTGATGAATAACAACCTTCTTACTCTCAGACTAAGTCTAAAAGCACATTGTAAATGTAATTAGACCTGCTTTATCTGCCGAGCTTGAGCCACTCTCCCATTATTGTAAGGTTGCATTTTTTTCTTTTTTTTTTACAAACACCATCATGGTCAATGCTCAAATAAACAATCATATCTATTACAACAAACCAAAACTCATTCTAGCGTGGCTTCTTATTTAACAAGTTGCATCCTTTTATTGTATCTGCTTCTTGCAATAAAAACTTTTATTAATCTAGTTTTTTTCCTTGCACATCAAAAAAAACATTAAATTTCTTAGCCACCTTCATTTTTTTCTTTTATATACAACCTGCAACTTTATAAGTTTTCAATTAACCATTTCCTAGTATTTTTACTTATTCTCTAGTTTTAAAGTATCTCATAACTTAATAGTGGTTACTTGCAATCTTGTTAGAAGTAAAATAAATGATACTTATTATGTATATATTCTTGTAACATTAACATTACAAACATATGCTTGTAACATGTAGAAAGCCAAATTTTGTATTGAATAAGCAATTTTTTTAATGAATAAACAGATAGCTTGTGCAAAAACCGAAAGTTCTCATAAGAAAGAGTAGCTAGCATGGCTAGCCATGTTATATATATATATATATATATATATATATATACATATATATACATACATAATATATATATATATATATATATATATATATATATATATATATATATATATATATATATATATATATATATAATATAGAATTACTGATTCTTTTTCAATTAATCATGGATTTTTTTGACAGTTTTGTGTTGGATTGAAATGGCTTATTGTGTTGTTATTGATATATATATATATATATATATATATATATATATATATATATATATATATATATATATATATATATATATATATATATATATACACATACATACATATATATATATATACACATACATACATCCACAATAGTAAAAATAAACTAAAATATTCAAACCTAAATCAGCAAGATAATCTAATCTCTTTTTTACACTTGAGAATTGAACTTTTATATCTTCATCAAGAGTTCGAATCTCTTTTATCTTATTACCTAACTCTATTTTGCTTCTTCTTTCTGTATTTAATTCATGCTCCTAATACCAAAATATAATATCTTAATAAGATATACTCTGTTTACACTCTAACACAATACTTCTAATATTATTATTAGATTATATTAATAATAATATTATTAATATTATTGAATAACAAATCTAATAACAATAAGAATACTTGACACTACACTAAAAGTCAAGCCTAAAGCACAAGCAAAATACACTAAATTACAAGCCTGAAACACAAATACATTAGACTAAAACATAAGCTTGAATCATAAGCACACTACACTAAAACATAAATACTTTGAAAATTATAACAGAAAAAAATCAAAACTAACTGTTACAAATAACGTAAACCAAAAGCCATAAGTAAAAACCAAAAGAGAATATTATCAATAAAACTTTTTTACAATTGACCTTTATCACAAGTCAATCAAATTTTATCTAAATAAACAATTACTGCAAATGAATTTTATTGCTTAAACAATTACTGTTATGCCATGTTATAAATAATAAGTATAAATAGTAGAAACCAGGTTTACAATGTTTATGTGAAAAAATATCCTTCTTTTTATATAAAAAAAATATCATCATGACTTCTCTAAAACTATTGAAGATTTCAGATTTTAAAGCTTATGATGGCTTCTTATAAGCTTTAGCAATAATACTGAAAATACTAATAATTGGCAGTAGGTTTTTTTAAAAAAAGAGTTTGGGAATGAGTTTGGGTGATCAAAAGTCTGTACTATGACTCATATATATTTGTTTACTTTTGCCTTTGATGTGTTCAATTTTACAAGTATATAAAAAAATTTGAATATTATTTTATAACTTTTTTTAAATAAATTTAAACTAAATAAAGACTTAAATTAAATTGGATTTTAAGAAAAAAGTTTTGTTTTATCAAAAATATGACAATTTAATATTATAATTTATTATATTATTAAATACTTTATATCTATAGACAATTAATTATAATAATTTATTAAAAATAGTGCAGAAGGCAGCAGTAAAATAAAGTAAAATCTATTAGATTGATGCTTTTCAAAGTAAATTAAAGTAAACATTACTTGAAACATTACTATGCACTACTTGAAACATTACTATGCACTACTTGAAACATTACTATGCACTACTTGAAACATTACTATGCACTACTTGAAACATTACTATGCACTACTTGAAACATTACTATGCACTACTTGAAACATTACTATGCACTACTTGAAACATTACTATGCACTACTTGAAACATTACTATGCACTACTTGAAACATTACTATGCACTACTTGAAACATTACTATGCACTACTTGAAGGATGAATCCTATATAACTTTAGCCTTGATTCCACTAATCTAATTTAAAGAAATAGTAAAAGAATACTTTAAAAATCCATAATTGAAAAAATTGTTTAGCATAAACATAGACGACACCTTCGGCCACCATTTTGCATAAAACTGCTTTAGATTGTCAATTATCAAATAAAATAAAAATTTTAATCAAGCATGTAAACACTTTTTTAGGAGAATAAATTAAAAAAGTCCCTGCCACCTATTTTTCTAACCTTAAAAAGAGACCTGCCACTATAAAAATGAATTTAATATGATAAAAAAATTAAAAACTTTAAAATTATACTTCATTTTAAAACAAGTATTCATATAAACAATATAAATATTTAATTAATAATTTAATATTTCAATAAAATTTAGTATTTCCAAATCACAACAATATCTTGCATAAACTTTAAGAGAAAACTTTATAAAGTTAGAATCTATATAATACCTGGTCTTTAACTTTTTTTTCTAAACCATATTTAGCTAACTATAATAAAAAAAAATGTTTAACAACATTAATTTATTGACATTTGCTCTTCAACTTGTTTCTCTGTGCAGCAGCCTTGTTTGTCAAGGATCTTGTTTCAGAGTTATAGGGTTAAGTGAGGGATGTAACCACAACTAAAAGTACCCTACTTGACTGAGTGGCCTTCATGGCCTTGAGGAGGTTATTTAGATCATGACATGATCTGAACCACTGAAGAAGAGCAAGAAAAAACTGAGGACAAGCTAGGGTTAAAGGTGAGACACAAATCAAGAAACAAAGGTAAGCTATTAGTTGTCTGGAAAACATAAAAAGTAACGAAATTAGAATGTAATTGAAAAACACTAAAAAAAAATTTTTTTTTTCAAGATTCAGTAAAATTAATGCTCTGAAACCAATGACCTAGTCATTGGTATAAGAGCATTAAATTTATTGGGAAATAGAAAAATGAATGAAGAGGTAATAAGTGAAGGCATGTAAATAATCAGTGATAGGATTTAAATCCACAACAAAAAGCTGAATTGTTACCTAAGTATATGCCCAGGCCAAACATGCAACTATTGAAATCTTTGTAAATCAAAGGAAAGTCATCAAAACTAAGATTTAAAGATGAAACAGCCAAATTTATATAACACTTACAAATACCAAGTACATCTGGTAAATTTTGCAAAAGTTAATATTTAATGGATGAAAAGTTAATTTGAAGACCATGAATATTTATGAAGAATAGATTGTAACAGTTTGGTGGTAATGATAGTAACAATGGCCTTTTTTAATAATAATTACAGACACTTATTCACATTTTTAATAAGTAAAGAACTTGACTTAATCATAAATAGTGTATAACAACCTCTCTAAGAACTATTACAGAGTTTGGAAACCTTACTACCAGCCAAAATCAGACTAATTAAATTGAGCTTTAAAGCTCTACTCTCTTATTATCTTTCTTATTAGGAGATAATAATAAGAGTTTTTTTTTTTTTTTTTATTTGCATTCACTCCCAACAACACTGCAAGCAACCACTATCAAGTTGGGAGTTACTAGGAAAAAAAAGAACAGAGTTATAGAGCAAGGAAACGGTTGACAGAAGACTTGAAAAGTTGAAGGTTGTATGAGTCAGGAAAACATGAAGATGGGAGAGAGTTCCAAAGGATTGAAGTGCGGGGAAAAAAACTAGATGAATAAAAGTTTTTAGAACATGCAGGGACAGATACAGTAAGTTAGACAGCTACTAACAAGGACTTGTTAATATATTAATAAAAAGCATCAATTATAAAATAACTTTTTTTTTCATCTATAAATTTTTAAAAAATCATTCAACTATTATATCTACAAGACTCAGTCTATAAACCAAAACAATGGGCTGATGTATCCTTGTTACTGGGAATTACACAATTATACAAAGTTTTTTAACAACTGATTTATGATAAACTAATAAACTATAAAAATCAAATGTATTCATAAAATCAAATGTATTCATTTCATAAAGCTATATGGTTATCTAGCACGTATTTAAGTTTTGAAAACTTAAATACGTACTAGATACTTGTATAAAAAATATATATAACTCATGTAAAAGATGGAAGAATTGATTTACCTGCAAAGTAAGAATTTCATCTTTTAAAACATTTATTCCTTTTGAGCTTGATGATATTGAAATACTTTGAGCTGCCTACAAACAAAAATAAAAAATTCCAGAATACTTTGAGCTGCCAACAAACAAAAATAAAAAATTCCAGAATACTTTGAGCTGCCTACAAACAAAAATAAAAATTCCAGAATACTTTGAGCTGCCTACAAACAAAAATAAAAAATTCCAGAATACTTTGAGCTGCCTACTAGAAAAAATCCCAAAATAATTTAAGTTGTCTGTAAAAAAAACAATCCTAGAATACTTTGAGCTGCATACAAAATCAAAAATATTCCCACCAATGTTTTAAAGTACTGTTTATAGGAAGTAACATCTTTTAACTACTCCAGGTCAGGTTCAGGCTACTACATGCTATTGGTATCATGTAACCAGGTACTTCCTGCCCCATGCCTTTTTGCCTCGTAGATTTTGCTTTTTTTAGGCAAACTCTATGAGAAACAAACTTCAACTTAAAAATCCCCTACCTTGGGGTTCTTAGTTTAGTAAAATCTCAATAAAAATACTCATCTTAGAAAGATTTTAACTGCATCCAGCTAAATAAAAGTATAGGCTAAAGATAGTATCTCAATAAAAATACTAACTTTTGGGCAGATGTTAACTGTATCCAGTTAGTGTCTTTTAAAAAGCCTCCTAGGTGAAGACTTTAGGGGGCAGCAGAATGACCAGCCTCAAACCACTTCTTCATCTATTAGGCTGGTGTAGTTGTAAACCTGTGTTACATTGTTTCCTGTCTAGATTGATGAATGTTGGATCTTCTTGACTATACTCATAAATTTTAGCTTGTGTCATGTTGCACATGTATGGTGTCCCTGTTAATGCTTTTGGTATGCAATTTCAAGACCACATTTTTTTACATTACATAAAAATAGAGATTCTTTGGGAGATATTAATTATAAGGAGCCCCTAAGTTATGGGGATCAAGTATTGGGATGCTATGGATAGGATGGGCTCTATCTATGAATGAGTCAAGTTATCTTTAAACTTAAACCTCCCCCATCTAACTGTTTCAATATATCTTTCAAAAATATTCCTGGTTTTTGAAGTAACCTTCATCATTTTAATCTTTGGTTTTTCAAAATTCACCAGACTTGCTTGCTCTTTATAAGACTAAATTAAATGTTCTTTCTTCTGTTCTTTCTTCAGATCTTAGTAAGAATCTGCTGAATCAGCAAAAGCACATTAAAGAATAGTCAAAGGATTTAAATCTGATTTCTTGACAAATTGACATTATTTCAAAACTTTTTTCAAAACTTCTTTCAATTCGACTCTTGAATCTTATAGCACTCTTTTATTCCAATTGAAAAGGTTAACCCATTGTTAGACATTCAAATCCAGCTTCCGTTGCTAAAGTCATATCTCAATTAAACTCTTTTACAGTTTGTGGTCCAAACAACATTCCTGTCATTACAAAGAGTTCTGTTCTAAAGAACTCTCTTCAATTTTCTCTAAACTATTTAATAAGTACTTGACTAAATCTTATTTTCCTGCCTGCTGGAAAAGACATCTATTGTTCTTATTTTTAAAAACTCTGGAAAAGATTCTGACCCCTCCAACTATCTTCCAATCAGTCTTCTACATGTTATTAACAAAGCTTTTTAATCTTTGAACAACAAATTTCTAAGATCCTATCTTGAGTCAAACAACTTACTGACAGACAATCGATACCGTTTTCAATCTTATCATTCCATGGCTGACTTGCTAACTGCTGTGACTGAAAAATTTTATCAAGCATTAGTTGGAGGTAGTGACGCTAGGGCTATTGATCAAAATTTATTTACTGCAAACAACTATTGCAATACTTTTAACATTCACAACTCACTGAGCTCCAACCCAACTCACTGAGCTTTCCTTTACACCTTCTTAGATTATTGTTCACTACTGACCTCTCATGGAAACCATATATATAATTGATTGCTAAATTAGCATCTTTTTTTTATTGTGCTCATCATTTTCTTACAAATTCCATTCTCTACCTTTACAAAATCTTTTATTCATTCTTGTATGAAATAATGTTGTTATATTTGGGCTGGTACTTTTAATGATAGTATTTCTCTTATAGATAAGGTCCAGTAAGGTATTTTAAATGTTTACAAAATTGTTAGACCCACTCTATTTGCCAAGCCTGAGCGCCCCTCCCATCGTCACAAAGTTGTAACTCTTTCACTTCTACAAATACTATCATGGTTGCTGCTCAAAGGAGCTATCACATCTAGTTCCATTAACCAAAACTTATTCTCGCTTGACTTGTCATTCAGTAAAGTCTCATTCTTTTACTGTACCTGTTTCTGCATGCTCTAAAAACTTTTATTTGTCTAGTTTTTCCCTCGCACTTTAAAACTCTTTAGAACTCATTACCATGGTTACCATTTTTATGTTTTCATGACTCAAAAAACCTCTTGTGTCATTTTCTTGCTTTTACTTTTCTTATGTCATTTTCTTGCTTTTACTTTTCTTATGTCATTTTCTTGCTTTTACTTTTCTTATGTCAATCATTTTCTTGCTTTTTAACTCTATTCTTTGTAATCTAGTAACGCCTGAATTAATAGTGGTTGTTTGCAACCATGTTTGCAATCGTTTGATTATTTTGCTTTGAGCACTTAAAAAGTGCTCAAAGCAAAATAATCAAACGATTATTGATGAAATTGATTTAAAAAAACAACTTTTTACAACAGATTTTAAGATGAAATTTTAGCAAAATTAAATAAAATTTAGAAAAATCATCAACAACGTTAACAATATATGGACATAAACTAGACACAAAACACTACTGATGAAATCAAACAAAAAAGATTTGTCATTTATGTCACTGACAATATAAAACCAACAAACAAAAGTTGGATTATTATATAATGATAGATATCTGTTATAGCAAAAAATATTTTATTTTCTGTTCTTTCTTTTCTATATCATTTTTATTTTGACCAGTAGTGTATATATATATATATATATATATATATATATATATATATATATATATATATATATATATATATATATATATATATATATATATATATATATATATATATATATATATATATATATAATATATATATATATATATATATATATAATCTATACAAACACTCAATAAATAATGATTATAGTAACATCCCACTTTGAACAGCTCTTTGTGTTTAAAGTAGACAAAATCAATTAAAATAAAAATCATTAAAATAATTGAGCAAACTAATCAAATTTTATAGTTTTTTAAAAAACCACAAATACACAACTTAATAGACAAGAATGTTGTTTGTTTTTTTAATAAAAATAAAAACATAATATCATTACAATTTTTATCATTTTAAAATTAGTTGCCATTTTCTCTATCATTTAAAAAAAAAAATTTTATTAAATGTCTTTTTCATTTGTGTTTTATTGACTAATTTATTTAGGGATTACCACAGCAGAGTGAACATACATTGACTGACTTAGATAGAACATGCATTGAGAGTATATGAATCAACTGACTTAAATATGTATAACATGCAGGAAGTGTACATATACTGACTGACTTAAATAGGTTGAACATGCAAGTGTTGCAACATTGACAAAGGATTTTCGTTTGGCAGGCAATCTATCAATTAAAAAAATGTTTTTATAAAGTTTTTTAAATTTTGATGTTTTTTGATATTTCCAATAAAATGTAAACAATGTTTAGATTTTATTGGAAATTGAAATAACTAACCCATGGTGTGTATGTGTGTGTGTCTATATATATATATATATATATATATATATATATATATATATATATATATATATATATATATATATATATATATATATATATATATATATATATATATATATATATATATATATATATATATATATATATATATATATATATATATATATATATATATATATATATATATATATAAAGAAAATATGTAACCATTTCTTCTTCATGTACTTTTGCTTTTTTTTCAAACTAAAAAAAAAAAAAAACAATAATAATGCAAGTATAAAGTTTACAAATTATACTATATTTAATAATATATTTTTATTTACTTCTTGATAAACGTTTTGAAGTTCTTGCTTTAATCCATTATTAGATTTCAAAAGTTCAGTTATTTCCTCGTCCTTAAAAATTTTTTTAATAATTTGAAATATTTATAAAAATGAGGCAAATAAATCATACAGTATTTAACAAAATTAAAATAAATTAGAACACATAAAAATACATAAAAATAGATTATGACACAAATATAAAGTTACAACAAAAAACACCTGCATCACAAAACCCATGGGTAGTGCTTAACTTTCTAGTTTAAAAATATACTCAAATAAATACTTCTTCACAATAATACAATTAATTTTTTTTTACATACAACAAAGTATTAATTATTCGCTAACATATTAAAATTTCTCTAGCATATATGTATTTAATAGTTTGTAAACGAATTTGCTGAGCCAGAAGCAGAATCCCAAAAAAAAACTTTTTTTTAAAAAATTATGCAAATTATAGGAAATAACATTTTAGTTTTTTAATTGACTTATTGCATTTTTTTGTATGCATATTAGAATATGGAGAAATTTTGAATCCCATTTGGTTTTAATTAATGTTGGGCATCTTAATGCAAGTGTCATTTTTTCTATGGAAATGTCATATCTTTCCATAATAATTAACTGTATCTTTAATAGACTTATCATTTGAAGTCTATCAAATTTGTAAAAGCCTTTGCAGAGCAATATTAATAACATAACGAATTCATAAATCATATATAAGAATTTGAAATAATTTATTTCAAAAAAGAATGAAAAGATTTTTACATCAATTAAATCAGCATTTTTATAATAATTAAAAATATAGGCAGAAGTACTGAGAGTCAATCTGAAGCTGTAAATTTTCTAAAAGCCAGATTCAAGCCATAAATGAAGATTTTTGCATAACAAGTTTTATGAAAGAGTAGTGCAATTGAATGTTTCCTTTTGTAAGCAACAAGTACCCCAGCTGGCACAACTCAGAAAAAAGTTACCCTTGGTTTCTGTTATGTGTTAAAAACCTTTTAAAATAAAATGAATAACATGTGCCAATAATGGTTTTCATTCTGTGAAATTAACTACTAATATTTACCAAAAATATGAGTTAAAACATTAAAGGTTTCACCATTACGGAAATGTAGTATTATATTATAACAAATTTCCATAAGGAATGTGAAACCACTGATAAAAGCATGCAACAATTAATTTAAAAATCTCAAAAAAGACGTGATAAACTGCCTGTAATATACATGTGTTTTTGGTTTATGCCTGGATTGCGACAAACATGTGTCTATACAGGTTTTAATTCCAAAAAAGAAACTAGATGTGCCAGTTGGGACAGGGTTTAAATCTTGTTCCAACCTCTGATTGTACTGGACTTAATTTTTTTCTGTTGCAGCAGCCTTGTTAGTTAAGAGTAGCATTTTGAAATAAGAGTTGAAAAAGGGCTGTTAAAGACAGCTAAAAAGATTATTAAAAAATCGCTAGTCAATTGTAGTGGCACCTTTTAGCCTGGAAAGAGATGAATATGCAAATAAAAATTTCATTTTTATTTACATAATATAGAAAATAAAAATATTTTCATAGTTTATACATTTTTTTGAATAAATATTCTGACCTTACTTCTTTTAATTTCAAAGTTTTCTTGGATTAATGTATTAATTCTTTCTTCATTTTCTTTGTCCAAAATCTTTAATGAAGTATAAATACATATATATACCACATTTTGTAAAAGGCTAAGTACACTAAAATGCTTATACACACACACATACACACACACATATATAAAAATATATAAATATATATATATTATATATATATTTATATTATATATATATATATATATATATATATATATATATATATAGAGTTGCAAAAAAACGCGTTTTTTTCCTTTGGCGTTTTTTTGGGTCAAAAAAACATGTTTTTTTGGTTTTTTTGGCGTTTTTTTTGGTTTTTTTGGTGTTGTATTGCTTTTTTTTAACAATTTTTCAGTTTTTTTTTGACATAAATTTTGGAATAGTTTTCCTTTACTCTAGTATCATTTTAGTATTTGGCCATTAAAGGCACAATTAGATGTATAAACACCAATTTAACATAAATTTTTTATAAAAAATATTAATTAGCTTTAAGTAAGTTATATATCTAGGCATACTGTATGAAAATCTTTATTTTTTGTTTTGTTGTACTATCAACTGTGATACTCTCATTATATATAAAAACTATTCTTATTCTATAAAAGTTACCATTTTAATTTTGATAATGTAAATATATTAATGTATAATACCATGCAAATATAATATCAGACTTCGAATGCTCAAAAAAATAAGCAATCTATCAAGATTATTAATTTAATTAAGCATTTGTATAATATGTAGTAATTAAGTCTTACATTGT